TTTTCATGTGTAGATAGAGTACTTTCTTTTTTCATTTCAACAAAATGAGTATTTTTTTCATAGTATAAAAAAAGTGTTTTGTTTCATTTTAACAAAAAAAGTACTTTCTTTTCATGATGTAGAAAAAATATTTTCTTTCATTTCAACAAAATAATGTAGTAAAAAGTATCTTCTTTCATTTCAACAAAAACAATACTTTCTTTTCATGATGTTGAAAAAGTATTTTCTTTCATTTCAACAAAATGATGTAGTAAAAAGTATCTTTTTTCATTTCAACAAAAATGTATTTTTTGCTTATGATGTAGAAAAGGTATTTTCTTTCATTTCAACAAAATGCTGCAATAAAAAGTATCGTCTTTCATTTCGACAAAAAAACACTTTCGTTTTATGATGCAGAAAATGTATTTTTTTTTATTTCAACAAAATGAGTATTTTCTTTTCATGATGTAAAAAAGTATTTTCTTTCATTTCAACAAAATGAGTATTTTCATTTAATGATATAGAAAAAATATTTTTTTTTCGTTTCAACAAAATAATGTAGTAAAAAATGTTTTTTTCATTTCAACAAAATGAGTATTTTCTTTTCATGATGTAAAAAAATATTTTCTTTCATTTTAACAAAATGAATACTTATTTTTGTGTTGCAGAAAGATTAATTTTTTTTCAACCAAAAAAAGAGTATTTTCTTTTTAGTTATGTACCATAAATTTCAACGTTGTTTTTGAGTGAAAAAGTAAAGCATCACATAAGTCCCTTGTAGGTTTGTGTGAATTTTAATTAAATTCTTGAAAAAAATAAAGTTATGAAAACGTTGGGTATTTANCAAACACTAAAAAATATTTTTCGGAAAATTTTTTTCACTCAATGACCAAACATGAAAAAATAAGTGATAAAACTACTCATTTTTCATGAAAATATTTTCCATGGAAAACATTTTGCTTCGTAACAAACACACCCTAAAAGTTCAACCGATAGAATTCCATTTGCATAATATTGGAAGGACTCCACTAGAGATTTTCTCAAAAGTAAAGACTTGATACAACTAATGTTTTCAAAAAGAGTTACAACTAATGTTTAACTATACAAGTCCTACAAATTAATTACTACTAGTAGCTAAGAAGTACATTACACCTGCGTTCTGCCACTGTCCTGTATATGTAGAGTTATTTCTCGACAGTTCAATTTCTGGTCTTGTATCTCATCTATAACTTCAACATCAACAGGGGGAAATGTAACAACTGGATATTACACCCAAACCAACTAATTATATTAACTCAATAAACAGAACTATAATAACCAAATAGCAATACAATAGTAGAAAACACACTAAAGGAAATAGAGAGTAGATGAGAAGAGAAATTGCAACCTAAAGCTAAGAAGAAAGAGGATGAGAAACAGGTTCATCAGAGGAGATGAGAAGAACAGACTGAGCAGAGGCTTCAACATAATTCCCCTTCCTGTGTCTCCCCCTGGATCCCAAATATAACGTCCTAGCGTTCCATTTAGGTGTTTAGTCATTTGGCTTCTTCTCACTTTAACTTCTGGCCCAAATGTCCCAACTGGATCACCGTTGTTTGACATTTCTGGCCCATAATCCCTTCCTCACTCAAATTGGTTCACAACAATACTCCCATCCGCAAAAAAAACCTTGTCCTCAAGGTTCAAGTTATGAACACTGTTAGTAGCATTTTCTCCATAATATATTAGCCTCACGTAAGTGAGCATAGAACCTTGTCTAGTAGTAATAGATGAAAAATAAAATTCTTTCAAACAACATGAGAAACCATCCTTTGCACGTAAAAATGGGATTGCTGCAGATTCTTCAAATGAAAACAAATAAAGCTTATCCTTTGAGATGGTTGGTTCTCTGGCTATACTCGTAGTACCGTAATGATAAAGAAGCAGATGGCTAACAAGGACAACAGAGCCTCTGTTGAATCTTCCAACATCAAGCTTTTGCATTGTAGTGAAGAGAACAAGTGATGGAAAATCGTGCACTGCTCCTTCTCTAAAGACAAGGTTGTACAGCACTAGAGACGTGTCTTGATTAAGAAACCGCATTATACAAACACTGTCTGGTGACAAAAGAACTACTCTAACATCTACTCCTGCAACATATACAAAATATTATAACACCCCAATATAACCATCCCCCGATGCCTTCAAAATACTTGCAAATAAAATGTCGCCACATGTGTCATCAATCAGAGCATAAAGCTCAGTAAGAACTTTATCAAACTTTGGGAGTATAGATTCCCCGTCAACACTACTACGAGATAAATTAAATACCAATAATTCTCTCATATCCCAGAAAATCACTTGAGCTCCCACTAACTCACAAGTTTTCCTGATAGCATCAGTAGCGCTATCTTGGATGCATTCAAAGGTGGGAACTAAAAACTCATCAATTGGTCCACCCCACAATGTAGCTATTAAATCGTAAGTAGAACGGAAACTACTATCTGTAAATATAGTCTTGTTGGAGCTAAAGGGTAGAAGAATATCATGTATACCAGGATCAAATGGAAGATTTGAAAAGGCGAGATATACAATGAAACCTGTTGAGGAATAAGAATGAAGTTGCAAAGTAACGTTCCAATCAGAATTGTTGCTTGGCAAAAGGATTTCTAAAGTCTTAGTGAGAATATCGCAAGCAAAATAAGCAGGAGAACTTAGCATTGTCCATTTATTTTGCCTTTGCACATCCATCAAATGATTTCCCACTGTCTGCTTCAAAACCTTGTGCACAAACTTTGCTGACACAATACATCCAGATCTTCCCATCTTGTCATCATCAGAAAGAAATTCTCTTACTGCAAGGCCATGCTCGAACTCCATAAATTTTTTATCAAGATGTCGATCTTCAGTACTCTTAGGTACACGGAAACATTCATCAAGATAAGTGGTGTCGGGGGCATCAACACCCAATTCAATTCCACCTAATTGCTCCCAATCATACAACTTTCCAAATAAACAAGTCAATCCTTTTATACTTGCTTTAAATAGTGTATGTGCATCTAATGTAGAAGTCAGAGGAATATGAGGAAGAGGTGAAAAACCTGACGCAACACTAAATTCCTGTCCCGTGTCGAACCACTTATCCACATAACCAGAAATTGGTAGCCTAGTATCCCTTTCATCCGTATCCCAAGCACTAAAGTATAGTACTAGTGGAAGCACTTGGTTATTACAAGCCTCCAATGTCATTAACAGTGCAGGGCACTTCCTACCAAGAATGACGTATCTATCTTCACCATTAACATGGCTTCGATAGGATGTACCGATGTTTAATGTGGCACTGGGGACGTGAAACCTTAAGGTATCTAAAAGTTGGCAATTGATGCAAGTAATTACCGTAGTATTATTTTTTACCTCATATCCACATTCAACAAAAGAAACCAGAAATGAAATCATATCTACAATTTGTCCAGGCCACCCAGGTATCTCTTTTGGGAAATTTTTAAGAAACACCTTGTCTTCCTGTGAGTCGCCATCATCCAATTCATATTCATCAGTACGTACATTGGAGCAGTAGCCATATGTCATTTCAGTGAACATCTTGTTCACATAGCTCGTGTTTTCTTCTTCCAAAGCATACTTAATCTCATGGAACAAGCCGTGTGCAGTTTGTTGTTCGACATTGGATGGAAGCAAAAGTGAGCCATCAAAAGGAGCTGGTAATGAATTATCAGGTGCAAATTGGTGTCGCTGACTAGAGCCAGCTCCTTGCAAAACTTCGAGAAACACTGCGTCTTCAAAGTTTGTTAACGTTGTAGTCTCACTATCTGTATGAGCTATAAGGTTAATTTCAACAGAGTCCAAACCAACCTGGATTTCAAAAGACGTAACTGATGATGACAATTCCAGCAAATCACTCTCGTCTGCGCCATTGGACATTTTATCTATAATGTTGGCCGCCTTTAAGTTTCTACCTTGGGAGGTAGATTCCAAGTCAGATGAGTTTGAGAGATAGCTCAAAATAAGAGAATATGCACCTTTGGACCTATCAGATGATTCATCAAACACCTTATGCGCATGAATTTTGTTTTTGCAGTCAGATTGTCTACCATAGTTTTGCAACAAAGATGAGTTGGTCATACAACTCCTTTTCGCTAATCTCCCTTCCGACTTGAGCCCTTTTTGTTTAAATCGAGTTCTCACTTTATCAGCAAAATGCGGCCAATCAATTAATTGCTTGTTCCTATACAACCACTGGTACCATTCCAATGCGTCACTATCAAGGTAGAATGACGCCCTGGTAAGCTTCCGATCATCTTCAATTCTATAGAACTCAAAATAACGCTCCGCTTGGAATATCCAAGCCTCCGGATTCTCGCCTTGAAACTGCCATAATTTGGCATCCATAGCCCGGTCTCGGGGTTGAAAAGAGGTCGTTCTTTGTTTCCTCACAGCCTCCAGCAGCATCGAACGAAGATCGGCGAGATCCTTAGAAAGCGAGGCCTTCATTTCCTGAATTGAATCACGAATTGAATCTTCGACGAAAGCCTTGAGTACTTTTTGGTCCTCCATTAGAGACCTCTGGATGAAAGCACCAATGTAACAACTGAATATTACACCCAAACCAACTGATTATATTAACTTAATAAACGGAACTACAATAACCAAATAGCAATACAATAGTAGAAAACAACACGAAAGGAAATAAAGAGTAGATGAGAAGAGAAATTGCAACCTAAAGCTAAGAAGAAAGGGGATGAGAAACAGGTTCAGCAGAGGAGATGAGAAGAACAGACTGAGCAGAGGGCAGAGGCTTCAATATAAATCCCCTTCCTGTATCTCCCTCTGGATCCCAAATATAACGTCCTAGCGTTCCATTTGGGTGTTTAGTCATTGGTCTTCTTCTCACTTTAACTTCTGGCCCAAATGTCCCAACTAGATCACCGTTGTTTGACATTTCTGTCCCATAATACCTTCCCCACTCAAATTGGTTCACAACAGGAAACTTCTGAGCTTTGCAGCATTGTCCAATAGAGCCTCGTCGCCAAAGGGGCAGTCTCTGATCTCCAACTTACGGAGGCTTTCACAACCGGAGAACACGTAGCAGAGGTCTGGATCGCTATCCCCTGTAGAAGTTACGGAGAGCATCTCTATCTTCTTTGCATGGACCTTGATGTACTCGACCACGGGATCCATAAGGAGGCCAGAAAGCAAAAGACAGCGCAATCCCTTGCAGTGTTGCATGATGGCTCCAAAACCAGCATCGAGCGGTCCAAGGGTTAGTCGGATGGCTCCATAATCAGGAGTTTGAGGCTTGATTGTACACAAATGTAGTCGGACCAAGTTAGGACGGTTCCTTGCAATAGTAACCAAGGTGGCATTTGTCATTTGGAAGCAGAAGTATAAATCTGACTGAAGCTTAATTAGGGCAGCCAGCTGAGATAGCTACAAGGCCTAGCTCTGTCAACGATACATTCGGTTCTTGCGCATACGGATAAGAAGGAAATACCCTAAGTTCTCAAGGTCATTTCTGTTAGGATATATTAAATATGCCCTAGATCTAGTTTCATATTTGATGATTTCAACATATTTTTGTGAACATTATTTCATATAAAAATATATGGCATTTGATATTCTTTTATCATAGTTATTATTAATTTCTTGATTAATTTGATAAGGTCCTTGATTAAATTTTGAGACTTGTCATCGTGATGGAGATCATGAAAATGAGAGTGAAGTTTCTTATAATTTAATCTAAATTTGTTCTTAATTGTAGAATTATTAATTTGGACATTGGTAATCCAGTTAGATCAATATTTATGTGATCGTCTTTATGGAATAAAGATTAGTTGATCTCATTAACTAAATCACATAAATAGATGCATATAGAGATATGATCATTGAACCGATTCATTGGATAATTCCTAATGGTTAGAATTACCATAAACTGTCAATAAGATATTATCTTGAAGAATGTGATGTAAGAGTTTCCTTTGACCTGATATCATCATAGTAATTGACAAGTTATTTATTGTGCTTTGATACTAGACACCTATGGCCCTAGGGCGATATCATCATACTAATTGACAAGTTATTTATCGTGCTTTGATACTAGACACCTATGGCCCTAGGGCGATAGTTGAAAGGATATTGGGTACGATTAAATACTTATAGAATTAGTGATTGATCAAGATGGAATATGTCAACTCTTGGTAATGAGTTTAAGCTCCATGTTGTCATGATTATAACCGACCAAATTAAGACCTTGGCCAGGGCAATTAAATGAAAGTAGAAAAGAGTTTCTTAGGTCATTCAATGGTCGATTATTTTGACATGAACACATAGTTGGTCGCCTATTAGGATTTGACAGTTGAACAGTATCCTAAGGGTGACCCAGAGCTATAAGGACAGAAGGAATTAATGCATTATTCTTCTACGGGTTCTTGAAAGTAAATTGAATACTTCATGCTATCCGGTCGTTGAGGAGTGTTGCTAGATGCCACCCTTGATTAGTGTATTGATGTGATCAATTTACTACCGATTTAATATTGAACCTATGGGGTCGCACACTAACGAGTGTTCTTGTGATGACCCAAAAGGTCATCTTATGTTTTAGAACTCGAATCTGCGCTTTTAAGCCTTAAAATTTTTATTTTTACCCTCCTCAATTTGCGTGTGCAGTCCGGATAGGTTTTCAGAAAGCTTTTATGTTGAAAACTAATGAAAATAAGAATTTTTATCTTAAAAGTTAATTTTTGTTGACTTCGGTCAACATTTTTAGTAAACGATCCCAGATCCGTACTTTGGCGGTCCTGGTAGGTCCGTATCGAATTATGGGACCTAGGCGTATGCCCGTAATCGAATTTGGAGGTCCCTAGCTTGAGTTAAGAATTTTTAATGAAAATTAAAAGTTTGAAAATTATTTGTTTTTAAGAATTGATTGATATTTGGCATTGTTAGTATCGGGTTCGTATTTTGGTGTATTGTGTAGGGTATTGATTTGGCGGGTGGTTATGAGTTCCTACGCATCTCTTTCATCGTTGCAGTATTGTGAGGATTGAAACCGGGCTTATATGTCTTATGAGGTATGCTACGGGAGCCGGGTCAATGAATTTGCAGTTGTTGTTCTTGGAGGAGGTTGCCTTGGTCAAATGAGTTATGCGGTGCATTGTGTGGGGTCAACATGGGTGCATGATCATGTGTGGGTTCAGTATGTGGGGATTGATATGGTGTTCGTATGTTAGATACAGGTCTTGTAAAGAAATTCGGAAGTTGGAATTTGGATCTAAGGCTTATTAACTAAATAAAAAGGAGGATCTATAGTCTGGCTCGAGCTAACATATTCACCTGGGTGGTGGTGGCACGGGTTGGTGCACGAGGTGTTGAGTAGTGATTTTGAGGCAACTCCAGAGCATTTCTTAGCACGTTCGAGGACGAACGTAGAATGTAATGACCCGACCTGTCATTTTGAGCTCTAGTGCGACGTTCGGCAGTTTGAGGCCTTAAGTAGTTTCACTTCATGTTTTATGACTTGTACGCATGGTCGAAATTTAATTTCGGGAAGTTCGGAGTCGATTTGGAAGGAAAAATCGAATTTCGGAAGCTTTAAGTTTGAAGAATTGACTAAGGTTTGACTTGTGAGTAAACGACCTCGGAATCGGGATTTGAAGGTTCTAATAGGTTCGTATGATGATTTCGGACTTAGGCGTATGTTCGGGTTGAATATTGGGTGGACCGGAAGCATTTCAGCGCTTATTATGGAAGGTTGGCATTTTGGAAGTTTAAGAATTTTTTTAGTTCGATTTGACATAAATTTTCGTGTAATCGATGTCTGTTTGGAGTTCCGAGCCTTGGAATAGGTTCGTATCGTGATTTGTGACTTGCACGTAAAGTTTGACGTCATTCCGAGATGTTTAAGTGTAAGTCGGACGCGTTCGGCAAAGTTTGAAGGTTGAAAAGTTGAAAGAAAGGTTTTGACCGTCGATTCATAATTTCGACATTATTTGACGTGATTTGAGGATTCGACTAAGTCCTTATCGTGTTTTGTGATGTGTCGGTATGTTTGGAAGAGGTCCCGGTGGCCGCGGGTGCGAATCGTATTGGAAACGGTTCGAGTTTGGACTTGGGGGAATTGCTGAAGCTTAAGGCTTCTGGTATGATCACATCTGCAAGGTTATGGCCGCAGGTATGAGACCGTAGAAGCGACTCAGGGGTTGCAGAAGCGATTGGGGATTGAGGTTGGTTGGATTCGCAGATGCGAGGAATATACCGCACCTGCGGGCTCGCAGATGTGGGTGGAGTAGCGCAAAAGCAGAAATGGTCTGGACTGGAAGAGCGCAGGTGCATGTGTGGTAGCGCACCTGCGGAGCCGCAGGTGCGGTCATGGGCGCGCAGGTGTGGAGTGTTGCTCGAGCTGGGGAGTCCGCAAATACGGGGGATTTCCGCAGAAGCGGATGCACATCTGCGATTGAGTGTCCGCAGAAGCGGAAAAATCTGTCACCTTGGGAGAAATGCCTCTCGGAGCCCGGTATAGGTTCATTATGATATTTAAGACATGTCTGTGAAATTTGGTGAGAAATGGAGTTGATTTGACGTGATTCCGATGACCAGTTGAGAAATTAGAAGTTTTAAAGTGTTCTTGAGAATTTCATTTGAATTGGTGCTAAATTTAGAGTTTTAGGTGTTATTTTGGCGATCTGATAGCGCGAGGAAGTTCGTATGATATTTTTAGACTTGTGTACATGTTTGGTTTGGAGCCCCAAGGGCTCGGGTGAGTTTCGGATAGGCCGCGGGATGTTTTGGACTTTGAAAATCTGGTTTTTCTGCAGAATATTTGTTCTGACATGTCCTTCTTCGCGTGCGCGAAGGTACTCTCGCGAATGCGAAGTGTAAACTGGGCAGCTGAGGATTTCTTCTTCGCGAATGCGAAGGCTTGGTCGCGAACGCGAAGCAATAGGGGCGTTACCCTTCGCGAACACGACAAGCTCATCACGAACGCGTAGCGTTAGGCACTAGGGAAGGGGAGTTAGCCTTTTCTTCATCGCGAACGCGAGCAATGTCTCGCGAACGCGAAGACCAGGGAATGGTAGCCTACGCGAACGCGAGCACTGCCTCGCGAACGCGAAGTTTTGGCAGCCCATACACTTCGCGAATGCGACAGTGCTCTCGCGAACGCGATGAACACTGTCGCCTAGCACTTAACAGAATCCAAAACAGGATTTTTGCAAAAAAACTCATTTTTCTCAAAAACCAAACGGTGAGGGGCGATTTTTCAAGAGTCATTCCTTCCCTAAATTGTTGGTAAGTGATTCTAAACTATTTTTTTTCAATTACCCATTACATTTCTTGAATTTTCAACCTAAAATCTAGAGTTTTCATGTTAAAATTAGGGGTTAGGGTAGAAAATAGGGATTTCGGGAATTTGGAGATTTAGACCTCAATTTGAGGTCGGATTCCAAAACTAATTACATATTTGGGCCCGGGGGTGAATGGGTAAAAATATTTTGGTCTGAACCTCGGGTTTTGACCAAGCGGGTCCGGGGTCGATTTTTCGACTTTATGGAGGAAAAATTGGAAAATTTAATTTATGCAATATAATTGATTCCTTTAGCAATATTTGATATTATTGAGTCATTTTTGAATAGATAGGAGTGGTTTGGAGGTGAATTCCAAAGGAAAAGCTGTGATTGCGAATTAAGTGGCCTTCGGAGCGAGGTAAGTGTTGTGTCTAACCCTGACTTGAGGGAATTAGGAACCTTAGATTATTTGCTAAGTGAAATTCATGTGAGCAGCGTATATGTAAGGTGACGAGTACCTATGCGCTGCCAATTTACCTATTTTTCCTTGTTTCTCTATTTTTCTGATATTGTCTCATTCATATGCCAAATTGCTACGTGTTATGCTAGTGTTGTCCAAATTATCTTTCTTATTATGTTTATGGATTTTTCTGGTGATAATTCATTTTTTATTTCAAAGTTG